TTTGGTAACTTCAAAAACATTTTGACTGCTTGATTGAAATAAAAATGCCCCACACATGGAAGCAAAGATTTAGAAGTAGCGAATTGGATAATAAAATAAACAGACAGTTGTAGAAAAAAATCTTAACTTAATATGGCTAGAAAATAAACCTAGGTTGGCAAATATTAAGGAATATAAATATTGAGGTTGATTTATAAAAGGCAAATAGACTGTTCAAGTTGCAAGGGAAGTTGTACACTACAAAAGGATTTTCCCTAGAGTTTATGGATTTATTTACTAAAACTGGAGAGTGCAAAATCTGGTGCATAGAAACCAATCAGCTTCCAGTTTTTATTGCCAAAGCAAAATTGAACAAGCTGAAATTAGAATCTGATTGTCTACCATGCACAGCTGCACCAAATTCTGACTGCACCGGTTTTAGATCTTTAAATCTACCCCATAGTGAATGAGGTGAAGCTCTGCTGACGTTCACCATCCAATCATGCCCAAAGGTTTTTTTCTATATTCCTTGCATGTGATTGGCTATTCTTTGAAAAGTGAAATTTAACCATATTCACTAAGTTCTGGGGAAAGTTCCATTGCAAAGTGCAACTTCCCTTGCAAAGGGAACAACCTATTTGCCTTTAATATATCAACCCCACTGTGCCCATGTCCTATTATTTATTCATGATACATTGCATATTTAATTTGAATTTTTACATAATTTCATTAGAAGGGTGACCTCTGCTTGGCAGCAATATATATTATGGTTACTAAGCAAAAAATAAGATAAGTCATCAGAGTCCATTTATAAGATAACAGGCCAGCAAGTAATGACCCAATGTGTGATAATATAATGCGGTTATGGAAATAGATAGATGTGTGTTTATCTTTGTGCATCCATGTATATCAAACCAACATTGTTATCCTTTTTTTCAGACCATGGCACTCTAAATTGTGTTATTTATTTATGTTACTTTTGCATCCATTTAAGAACTCCAAATGTAGAAAAAATTAATATAGGCCAATTTTAAAAAAACAGCAACCCTCAAAGTGGGAAAAAACCCTTAGGGGGTTATGTAATGTACAACTGTTAGAACTATTTGAGACCTCATAAAAAGTAATGGGTATATATATATTAAAATGTGCTAACAAGAAAAATCTTCACTGCCCCTAGACACTAATCAACTTTTAACTGTCTTAACTGTCTTTTGTTAGTGTACACTATATAAGGTAAAACAAGAACACTGGTTTCTATAGGCAATTTTTTCACACATAAACCCATGACTTTTACAAGCTATCCATAGTCCTAACAATGCTAGAACTCAAAAACATTCTTTCAGTTTTAGAAGCCAAAAAGAAAAACAAAGAAGGTCCAGTGTTGTAAATTATATAGGCAATTTTGTTTAGAATGAAGGTATCCTTTCAGGCCAAAGTCCAGGAAAACAGCTAAATACATTGAAACACCAATGAACTATTTTATCTGAAAAGTGATCTGTAATTTTGTTTGGCCAGTCTTGCGATTCTGGCACCCCATTTTACATAGAATATGCATTGTATTATGCTCTTTAAAGCTTGCTTGAGAAATAAATTAACTCAAAAACAAAAACAGCCCATTCTGTTGAATGTAAAATAAGGGATATGTGTATGTGTTCTTTTGTCAGTCCACTCACTGTGCTCCAAGCTTTCACCATTTAATAGCAATGAAAATAAAATTGTTTTGGTTGTGACTGTGCATGACTTGGAATTAAACAGACCGTCTACACATCTTGGGATCTTGGACTAGCAATTGCTCAGAATTCTATGTGCATTGCAGCACATTCATTGATCTGCTAGTTATTAAATCTTCTAAGAGCTACTTATAGATCCCACATTGCCCTAGATGTGAACCACTGAACTGCATTTAAAATGTTCTCAATCTATGTTACTGTGAACATTTTTTTTCAAATATATAATTTAAATGTAACATCTGTTTGGCCTCTAAATGATTGTGGAAAAATATTACTTCTTCATTTTACTGTTTGCAATAGTAGAATGTGGATGCTGGAGACTTTTCTTGTAACACAGAGCCTGTATTTTGTTATAAGTGTCAGTCTCTGCCTGCAACTAGGGTTAAGGATTATCTATTCTACCATATGTCCTTAAACATCTACATGAAAATGTTAAGATAGCCATGGTCCTTCAGTGGCAACTAGACATACAGCCACTATCCAGCTGACAAAAAATACAAATATATTTCTTAAAAGTCTTTTGCATTGAAACCAATCTCAAGGCAAATAAAAAAACACTAATAAATGCAGTTTAATATCATTTAAAATATGTATTTTTAAATGTAACTAGCATAGTCAAAGTACCTGGATCAGTCCTTTTCAATTCCTTACACAGCAATGCTCAGACCAGAAAAGGATGGGCAAGCAGTGGGCCACCATTTATCCGGCTCTGCTGTAGTGCACATGTGCTGCCAATGAATACTGTGATAGAAAAAAAGAACAGAGTGAGCAGACAGATAAACTCCTCCTTGTGCCTTTGCTTCTTCATTGTCCAAGCAGCAGGTATAGTTGCTTAGTTGATCAGGTGGTGCTACCGCTTCAGTGGAGGCCTAGAATTTAATTGGCTGTCTGGTAGGGGTGCCTGGGTTACAAAACTGGCTGTACAGCAAATTCAATCCTTTGGAAGATAAAACAGCCCTCATTGAAGTGTCTCCTTTGTGTATTTATCTGCATGCCTACAGTTCAGCTATAACCTGCTTGCTATAAACCACTGGGATGTATGCTACTACTCATAGTCCCCAATCCGTCTGGAGGAAATTGTCAGTGGATATGTATACACAACCAGGGGTGGACTAACAACTCATGAGGCCCCCGGGCAATAGGGGATCATGGGGCCCCTGTGTCCTTGCCCAAACTCAAAAAAGCCTATAAAAAAGGTATTAGGGGCATCTCATGGGGCCCCCTACTGACCCTGGGCCCTCGGGCACTGCCCGAGTTTCCAAATGGTCAGTCCGTCCCTGTACACAACACACTTGTGTCCTTACATGCACTGTATGCATGTAAGGAGCATGAAAACTAAAGTCGTTATTGCCATTGAACTGGTATAGGAGGTATAATCAAGAACAGGAGAGAGAAAATGGCTAAGAGTATGACTAGACGTAGAAAGATCATCCCAAAGTATAGAACTGGCAGAACCCTCTAAATGTGGGACTTTGGAGCTACAAGTTGTACACACGTGTTTATAAAATAATGAAAGACTTTACTGTACAAAATATAATAAAATCACATAATAAATGGTCAGCAGGTATAGATTTTACAGCAAACACAATTTCTCATGAAACTTGACACAAATGGAAGGGAAGGACATCTGGGTTAGGTGTCCCAACCAAGGAACCCGTAGTAGCCTCTGAGGAACCCTGACAAAAACTATTTATAATGAAGTTACACTTAACTGATACTTCCCCTGCCCCCTGCCAGTCTTATAAACCTCCTTACTACAGACATATTGTAGAAGAATGCTGGATAGGTAGGCTAATTTTTCTGGCTTGCCATTTAAAAACAGTGCTGCAGAAAACACACAAAAATTGTTCTCCCTTTGAATGCTTATGATCGAGTTGTCATAAGACAGCACAGATCACAAACAAAATACAATGAGCTAATCAGAGTGGCTCTGTACCTTGTGATCGCTGTGAGCTGTGATGGCCAATCACAGTGATTGCAAATATATACACGGCCTATTTTTATATCTAAGAGCCCCTCTTTCCTCTCACAACAGTGTTGGGTGGGGGGTTAATTCATTTGATTGTGGGGTAATTTTGAAGCCTTTCATATCCCCTTCTCTTCTTTGAATGTGAGCTACACATCTCTGTATGTGATCTGTATATTATACGCCTACTCCTCCCTTATCCTGCACATGAACCCCCCTCATCCTCATCCTAACACTGTATGTGACCTGTACATAAAACCTCTCTTTCTTCATACGGTAGTGCACTATTTGCAAGCTCTATGTTTTAACCACATCTGTACCAGCAAGCATGTTTCTAATTTTACCAAAGATTGTGGCAAAATTTTGAGGGTGTTCACAGTAGCCGGCGGAGATCAGTAAGCTCCGAATGCATACTTGCAATCGGGAGCATTCCAATCATGTGATCTTTGTGACAGGCAGTCACAGTGGTCACGTAACCCTAATGCCCGCCTCTGCCTCTCAACATCTAGAAGCTCTTAAAGGGCCTGGAGGTGGTGGTGGCAGGAAGGGGTTAAATACCACCCAAAAAAAGCTGTCTTAAAAATTATAGAAAATTAATTTGGGTCATTTGCATGACCGAGTGATTGTCAGTCAAATTATCTTGGCTTTCGAAAAATTAAAAAATGGCCTGGTAATAAAAAAGTATATACAGAGTAGAACTCAGGTAGTTAAATGACAAAAAATAATAAAGCATATAGAATTGCTACACAAGCAATTTTGTATTTAACCACTAGCCTACTGGGCACTTATACCCCCTTCCTGCCCAGACCAATTTTCAGCTTTCACTTTGAATGACAATTGTGCCTTCATGCAACACTGTACCCATATGAAATTTTTTATAATTTTTTTTGAGACAGGTAGAGCTTTCTTTTGGTGGTATTTAATCACCTCTGGATTTTTTATTTTTTGCCAAACAAACCAAAAACAACTGAAAATTTTGAAAAAAAAGAGTTTTTTCTTAGTTTTTGTTTTAAATTTTGTAAATAAGTGATTTTTCTCCTTCACTGATATGCGCTAATGAGGCTGCAGTGATGCGCACTGATAGGTGGCACTGATAGGCACTGATAGGTGGCACTGATGGGCATTGATGAGGAGGCACTGGTAGGTGGCACTGATGGCCATTGACAGGCATCACTGATGGGCACTGAAAAGCAGCACTGAGAGGTGGCACTGATAGATGGCACTGATAGGCGGTACTGACTGGCACTGATAGGCGGCACTGAGTGGCACTGTTAGGTGGCATTGACTGGCACTGTTAGGTGGCACTGATAGGCTGCACTGATGCGCACTGATAGTCGGCACTCACTGGCACTGATAGGCGGCACTGACTGGCACTGATTGGCGGCATTGATTGGCAGCACTGATAGGTGGCACTGATAGGCATTAATAGGTGGCACTGACTGGCGCTGATAGGTGACACTGAAAGGCAGCTCAGGTGAGCACTGATATGTGGCATTGATGTGCACTGGTAGGCACTGATATGTGGCACTGATGGGCACTGGCAGGTGGCACTGATGGACACTGACAGGTGACACTGCTGGGGCTACACTGATCATCAGTGCGCTGATGATCAGTGTACATGTCCCCACCGAGGAATGCCGATTACCAGCTCTCCTTTCCTCTCGAGCTGTCAGTGTGACAGCCCATGAGAAGAGAAATGCCAATAACCGGCATTTCCCTATTTATATGAGATCAGCTGTGATTGGAGGCATCAACAGCGAGGCTCTTTCTGTCCATACATCATACATCAGCATCAGAGGTTGGTCATCAGCTCTGAGGAAAGGGATTCGTCCCCAAAACACGTCAGCCATTTGACCGCACTGACAGTGAGAACACCTTGCCCGCCGTTGTGGCCATTGTCATTTTTCTATGCTTTTTAGATACATGCTTTGTCTGTGAGTATGTTTTTATTATTTCATTCCTACAATAAACCTTGGATAATGCACTAGGTGTGTGCGCCACCTGTTTTCTCTCTATCCAGTGGCTGATTTCCCCGTCTGAGGAGGGCTGCACCCCTGGAACATTTGCTTTGGTTGTTGCTGTCCTGGTACCTTTGGCTTCCCTTTTGGCTGTGCATATCCTGAGGCGCTGGAGAGTACATACGATATACAGCTGATCACATGACCGAGCCAAAATCTTCAGCTCTTTCCGTTGAGCGGGGATCCACTGTATCCGAGGGAAACAGCGCACCGCCGAACTCCGCGCTCCCGGAGCCGCGCATGCGTGTTTAGAATGGGAGGACGTCATATGACGTCCTCCCAGAATGAGAGAACCGCTTTGCACCCGTCATTGCCTTATATGGTGGGCGGGAGGTGGTTAATGACCTTTATATTTCAGTCTAAACAGTTTTATTTTCCTCAAAACTTCTAAAAAAATTCCATGCAAAATTGCTTGAAGGCATTCGGGGCTCTATTGGAGTATGAATTAATGCACCCAAACATGTCATTTCCTGCTTGTATGTTTGGCTCCTATATTTTCTACAAAATCTGCACTAGGATACACATTTTAGGCATCTCCTGCAAAATTAAATTTTTTGCCAATATGGGACTGATTTTGGGCACCCCCAGAAAATGCAATTAAGATCCTCCTGTCGCGAGATACACCTAGGGCACAATGTGGAGTCTCTGTGGGAAAAGTGATACATTCTTAGGAAAATCCAATATACCGTATGCAAAAGGAACAATTGTGTAAGTTTCAAAGGGGGAGATATCAACATCTGAGGCATTATTTGCAGTGCATCTAATCATCTGTAAACAGGCCTAGATCCTGTACCGCGCAAAAAAAATGGCATCTGTCCCAACCTATAATCAGCTTTTGCAGTAAGGTGCATATGAAAGAGCAATATACATCACAAACAAAGGACTTCCCAGCAGAACTTACCAGCCAGCCTGCAAAACAACTAATGTGGCCCTGTCTAACAGTTTGCATTAAAAACAGAAGGTTTTGTTTGCACACATTTGCAAATACATGTGTAAGCCACAGCCCCTTGTCTGTATACTGTGGACCTAACTAACATTTCCAGAGCCTCCAAAGTAGGAACACATATATCAATGGATAGGTTAAAAGAAAAGTTCACCTTTTTTGACAAAAATAATAAATGCACATTTTTTAGCAGGTAAAAAATATGCATTTATTATTTTTGTCTGCAGGAGCCTGGAAAGCATTGCACCAGCGATCAGTACATTGCTGATACCATGCAGGTTTCCTGCAGACCTGTCAGAATATCTATAAGAAAAAAAGAAAAACAATTCTCCTGCGTTGCCAAATGGCTATGATCCCCACCCCACCAAGTGGCTGCAGACATCTAACTAAATTCCCAATAGTGAAACAGATGAATTGAATAGTGAATTGGTGTTGCGCTACATGAATAAATGGACAATATATATAAAAAAATAAATAAATAAAATAAAGTGTTAAGATGAAGTAAACCCCAGGTGTGAAGATGAAAAAAAATGCTGAAACAGCAACAAGTGTAAAAACAGCGACAAGTGTAACAAATGAGTGAAGACATGGCCAACAAAATACTTGTGCACCTTACTGCTAAGGCTGGTTATAGGTTGGGACAGTTGCCATTTTTTAGTGCAGTTGGCTAATTTGGATGAGGGGACACACTGGATGCCTTTGTTGTCATTTTGCTATAGCTGTGCGTCATGTGCATCCCTGTACCTTTAAGGAGGGATGGGCTTCTCCAGGCACACCTGCCCTTAAAATATACATTGATATATTTGCTCCTACGACGAAGGCTCTGGAAATTTTAGAGTTATGTCCACAGTATACAGAGGACCTTTGACGTGGGACTGTGGCTTACGCATGTATTTGCAAATGTGTGCAAACAAAACCCTCTGTTTTTAACACAAACTGTTAGACAGGGCCAAATTAGGTTTTTTTGCAGGCTGGCTGGTAAGTGCTGCTGGGAAGTCCTTTGTTTTTCTAGATCCTTTACCCAATTTTTGTTTTTACTTGATAGTGAAAATGTGCTGTGAGATCTGGGTTGTAGGCCAGTATATATATATGGAAGATAAGGCCTTGTTTGCACTGAGAATAGCTCAGAGGAGAATAAATTGTAACTGAGATAAATTAAATTTTGTAAAGTGTAAAGTCAGTAAGATTTTGTTGATTATTGACGGCATGGTGGAGTTGAAGATATCTAAAATACATAGATCTTGTGGGAGAGAACTCAATGAGGGGAAATTACTTAGGCAAGACATAGGCGGTGGAATTTCTACTAAGGGCTGCAGAAAAGAAATTTGTTTGATTCTCCTGTCAACACTGACTGATGGTTGCAGGAAAGAAATTCACACTGTCTATGGCTTGACCAAGGAAATTCCCCTTATTGAGTTCTCTCCCCCAAGATCTATGTGTTTTAGATATCTTCAACTCCACCATCCCTCCCACTGAGCCATTGTGTTTCCCTCAATCGATCAACTTGGAAGCATTCGGCCTGCCCATACATTGTTTGAATCTTGGCCAGTCCATGCTGAACCAGACTAGATTCAAACTGTCTATGGCCATTTTTAGACTGGTGCAGCCAGAATCTGAAGCAGCCATGCCTGGCAACCAATCAGCTTCTATCTTTCATTTTCAATGCTGGGTTCAAATAGTCGGTGCTAGAAGCTGATTGGCTACTATGTACAACTTCTACATATTCTGTTTGCTCCAGTTTTAGTAAATTCCCATAAGTGTGTGCAGATGTTGGAAGGATTTAAGAGAAGTGAATAATGTTTACTGGTTTAGGCCATGGTTTATCCATAGTTAATGATTGGTTTCATATAGGACCAGTCTTATGAAACAAAGTAAGAGTGGAGAAGTGTAATTGTTTATAGCAAGTGCCAGCATCCAGAGTGCAAGTGGTATTCTGTCCATTAAAAATCATGACAGTGCTTGTTTAGGATCAGTCAGGAGAGACAATTACCTCTAAAGCTCCAAATATTAAAGCTGAGGATTAGGGATTCCCAATCCTTCTTCCTCTCAAGAAAGACATAATGTTTCTAGTTTAATTTGAGGAGGCCTGCCACTACAGATATGTTCATGGAATAGCACACCTATCTTGTGAAACTATTTTTAGGTATCCAAATTGGTGTATTATGGGCAACATATAGGAAATGGGGCAGCCGTATTATTTTTATAGGATTCCCCCTTCTGACAATAATCAAAGGCAGCTGGGTTTAAATTTTAGATTTTTCCTTACTAACTAACTCACTAAGAGATTAAATGGTGGTAGATTACATTTTACATAGTCCTGGGGGTCTGTGGAAATTATCGCACCTGAGTAACAAAAAAAATCAATAGTCTTAATTTGCTGTACACAGCTGGGAATTGGGTGTTGAAGTGGGTGTAGTGCTAATAAAGTGGATTTGTTTCAATTTATTGTCAAGCCCAAATATCTGCCAAAGTTTTGTACTATGGCCATACGATTTTTCAGGGAGGTTGTTGTATCTAACAGAAATAAAAGGGCTTTATCTGGGTTCAGGATGGATTATTTTATCTTCCCCATCATGTCTGAAAAATCTAAAGATTGAGCATATACAGCCATTGCAAGGGATGCAATCGCTAGTTCAGATAATAAAGGCATGAACAGACAGCCCTGCTAGCTGCCACTCCCCAATGAAAAAGGATGTCAAAGAGAATTATATATTTGTACCTTGGCCTTAGCGTTTTCCATTTAATAAATTGTGGGCCCAACTGTTCCTAACACTTCCCTTACGTAATGCCATTCAATGCTATCAAATGCTTTGGCAGCGTCAAGTGACAGTATTGCTCTGTTTCTGGTATTTTTCAAGATTAACTCTCTGTCTTCTTGTGGAAACAGGAAGAAAAGCTGATCTTCACTTGCCAGACAGTACTGTGCAAAAGTTATAAGCAGTTGTGAAAAACCACTGTAAATTAAGACTGCTTTCAGAAATAGAAGCGTTAATAATTTATTTTTTATCAATTAACAAAATGGAAAATAAACAAACAAAAGAGAAATCCAAATCAAATCAATATTTGGTTTAGCCATCATTTGCCTTCAAAACATTCTAGGTACACTTGCACACAGTTTTTCAGTTTTTGAAGGAAATCGGCAGATATGTTTTTAAACATCTTGGAAAACTAACCACAGATGTTCTGTGGATGTAGGCTGCCTAAAATCTTTCTCTGTCTTCCTGTAATCCCAGACAGACTCGATGATATTGAGATAAGGGCTCTGTGTGGGCCAAACCATCACTTCCAGGACTCCTTGTTCTTTTTTACTGTGAAGATAGTTCTTAATGATATTGGCTGTATGTTTGGGGTTGTTGTCCTGCTGCAGAATAAATTTGGGTCCAATCACACATCTTCCTGATGGTATGCCAGGATGAATAAGTATCTGTCTGTATTTCTCAGCACCATTGATCCTGACCAAATCTCCAATTCCATTTACAGAAATGCATCCCCAAACTTGCAAGGAACCTCCACCATTCTTTACTGGCAGGATGGATAGGTATCTGCCTGTATTTCTCAGCACCATTGATTATGACCAAATATCCAATTCCATTTACAGAAATGCATCCCCAAACTTGCAAGGAATCTCCACCATGCTTTACTGACAGGATGGATAGGTATCTGCCTGTATTTTTCAGCACCATTGATCCTGACCAAATATCCAATTCCATTTACAGAAATGCATCCCCAAACGTGCAAGGAACCTGCACCATGCTTCACTGGCTGGATGGATAAGTATCTACCTGTATTTTCAAGCACAATTGATCCTGACCAAATCTCCAATTCCATTTACAGAAATGCATCCCCAAACTTGCAAGAAACCTCCACCATGCTTCACTGTGCCTGCAGACTCTCATTATTGTACCACTCTCCAGCTACAGCCAAATATTTCAAATTTTGACTTATCAGTCTAGGGCACCTGCTGCTGTTTTCTGTACCCCAGTTCCTATGTTTTCATGTATAGTTGAGTTACTTAGCCTTGTTTAACTGTTGAAGATATTGCTGTTTGGCTGCAATTCTTTCATGAAGACCATGTCTGCCAGACTTCTCCAGACAGTAGATGGGTGTATCTGGGTCCCACTGGCTTTCACCAGTTTTGTGTCAATGGCACTGCTGGACACCTTCTGATGTCAAAGGTTAGTAAGCATGATGTGTCTTTCACAGGTTTTTTTGGCTGACCAATGCGTCTATTGTCTTCAACATTGACCATTTCTTTGTGCCTCCTCAAAAGAGCTTGATGAATTGAATTGATGCTGGTTTGAAGTCAAAGGGTAGTCACTCTAAATATTGATTTGATTTAGATTTTTATTCAGTTCACTCACTTTTGCATTTTGTAAATTTATAAAAATAAACAATTAAAATATATATTTCTGAAAGCATTCTTACTTTACAGCATTTCTTCACACCTGCCTTTAACTTGTGCACAGTACTTAATGCGTTTCGAGGTTGTACCGCTTCATCAGAGCCAATCGAAACACGTCAGCCATCAGCTATCCAGAGGTCTACAGTTCCCCACCAGACTACCTTCAGGGGTTTTGAATCACACTGCATCTCTTGTGACATGCTTTCCATTTGATTTGATTTCTCTTGTGAGTATTTTACTTTTTATCAATAAATCTCATTTTTAAAGGTAATTCACTAGGCCCGTGCGCCCTCCTTTTGTCTCTTCATATACAGTTCTCTTTGGATTTCACTGGTCCATTGAGGGCAGCAAGGCTTGCATTCCTTTCATACACATGTGGGGATATTGACATTGTGGAGTCCATTGTCTACCGCAGGAGCTCAGGCATCCGGTTGCTTTTTTTCATATACAGTCCTCATTATACAGTGCTAAATCAATCCTACAAAGTGTTCAATGGGTGTGATAACAGCAGGTATTTTGGTTAGCAATTGAGTGCTGGATATGCCAGATATCTAGCAGGCTCAGTTCTCTTACCTGTATGGCCAGTGAGGTACGTGAGCCACCAGTGGTATCTAAAGCAGTGCTAAATCTATCTTTTGAGATGACCATTATACTGTTAAAGTCTTAAAGGATAATCATAGGTGAGTTTTGTAAATACTATAAAAAAAGTACAAAGTGTTTAAGTACCTGTGCCAAATGCGGAGGAGGGAAATAAATATTAGCAAGAACAAAGCAATACCTGCAGTACAGAGCAAGAAAATATATCTGCCTGTCTAGTCTAGTTTAGTGTACCTGCCAATGATTAGAATATTCTTATGAATAAGGACACTAACTCTTATTCTTATAAATTATAACTATTTTTCTTATGCAGATACTAACTCTTATTCCTATTCTTATAAGTAAAGATACTCACGAAGAACAACAAAGAAAATCAGCAAAAAATTAGACCTACCCCAACCTCTCTTAAACTTCAAGGGATCACACAGGATTGCCAGTGGGGGGGAAGAGTGCAGTCTGATATGCCATGCAGTTTAAATTGCTAGCGCTGCTTGAAAGGATG